ACCCCTGTGAAAGGGTTGTTGGACCCCCAAAGGGGTCGTGACCCACAGGTTGAGAATCGCTGCTCTAGGGCTTCCCCGATTGATGTCCTCTCCTGGACTCTTCCCTCCTCTCCTCAGGAAGCTCCAGTACACGGGTCTTCAATCCCTCCACAACCCCACATGATCCTTCCTACCTCAGGACCTTTGCACATGCAAATTCTTTCACTCCCTCCCCTTCCTGGAAGCCCATTTCATTCCTTCTTTCAGACCATGGTTTAAAAGGTCATTTCACCCAAGAAATCTTGCCTGACTAACAGCCAGGACCCCTTACTACACGTGATCCCGAGATGATGGCTCTTTACAGAACTGACCAGACTGACACAATTAATTATCTGTGGATCTTGTTGGACTGCGTATACCACACATCTGGCAGCTTGGAGGCACTGCATAACTTATTTATGAATGAGTAAATAAGAGGGGGCAGAATCTTGGGGGTGTCCTTCCTTTCAGATTTCCCTTTCTGTCCTCCTATGCCAGCCAATCTCTGCTAGGTGCATGGGAGCTAGGACAGGGTGCTGGGCCGTGATCAGGGACTCGAAGGGCAGGGCAGAGCTAGGGTCCACAAAGAGTATTCATTTCAACAGATATTTATTGAGGTAGAAGTTCTACTCTGTCCTGTAGGGTCGTTACGAGTCAGAAAAAACTGGCTGGCAAGAGGTCTGGGCGGTGGTTTATTTACTGCCAACTCACTGTGCTCCAAGGACAGGTGGCCTGCTCAGATCGCCTCCCTGGGATGGCTCTTTGAAAATCCCGACCCCTCCCATCTCGGAGCCCCAGGCCGCCTACCTGGGCCTCCCCCAGCCCCAGCTCGATGGCTTCCAGGGAGCGGCGCAGGAAGACGCAGCGCTCCTGCGAGCCGGGCTCCGTCTCGGCGGCCTCATGCGAGACCAGAGGGGCGAGCAGGGCGCGGTGCTCCCCGCGCAGGGTCTCCAGCCCCTGGATGACGGCCTTGGTGCCCAGCACGATGTCATCCTGGCTCAGCTTCTCCTCCCGCGGAAGCACCATCGTGGCCATGACCGCGCCGCCTGTGGGGGCCAGGGGGCGGCAGGCGGGCGCCGGGCCTGGGGCCGCACCGCCGTCCGCCCGGACTAGGTAAACACCCGCGGTCTCCAGACGGCGAGGCCCCTCGGCCTGGGCTTGTCCGGGCCCCTCCTCCAAGGCTTGTTGAAGCCAAGAATCCAAGGCCCGAGTCCTGAGGTCCCCAACCCTTTCCCCTGGGCTCCTCCCAGGCTGGTCAGTCTGTAGACCTTCGAGCAAGTACCCCCTTCCCTGCGTCAACCGGTGCCATCCTGGCAGACTCTGCCTTCACCTTGGGGGGGTGTCTGCCAGACCTCAAAGCTGCTGCCCCATGATTGTCACTGCCATCCCTTGAAGGCAACGAAGAAACCTTCCCCTGTGGCCTGGCCCCAGGGCTTGATAGATCAACCTAAACCCCAAGCCAAGCTGGTCCCAGCTCATCAGGACCCTCCGGGGCTGAGTGGCATCGCCCATCTGGTTTCTGAGTCCATAAAACTTCAAGGAAGCAAAATGCCTCTTCTTTCTCCTAAGTAGCTGCTGGTGGGTTTGAACCAGTGACTTTTCGATTAGCAGCCCAGTGCTTTTACACCACTCACATTCCTAGAGTCCTAGTGGGCTGAAAGACCTCCATCCTAGTTCTACTCCCAGGCTCTGAATTCTCCTTGTCCTGCAGCTCCCAGGGAAGAGACAGGCCCGAGTTCTAAGTCTCAGGTGGCCTTTGAAAAGGCAGGGCAGATTCCAACTGGATTCCTCCTCTGCTGAACTTCCAGGTTCTTCCTACAGAGGACCTAAGGCATTGGCCCTGCTCAGAATCCCAAGACCCTTCCCTTCAGACAGCCCCACCCTACCCCCTCAGCACCCTTCACTGCTCTGCCCCCCATGTGGGCCTGTGTCCAGCTGGCCCCCCAGAGCCAAGGGGCTAAAGCTGAGGGTGAAGCACTAATACCACCCCCACCCCCACACACACACTTCCTGAGGGTCTGGCGGCCCTGGCTGGTGAACACACACCTAACGTGAGGGCTTTCACAACCACTTGCTGTAAAAAACATTCCCTACACAGCCGGAGAGTAAGTACATACAGCAGATGGCACAACTCCTATTTTAAAGACAAGAAAACCCAGCGCATACCACCTGCCCAGGATTCGCAGAGCCAGGCAAGCACTGGGCTGGCCATTCTTCCCTCACAACCAGCCAGCGCCCTGGGCAGCTCAGCTTCAAAAGGCCACACAGAACTCCCGAGCCTCCCACTCAGACACAGAGCCGCGTGCACCTTGCTCAGTCCACAGGCCTGGGATTGCCACGCCTTCCTCCCTCTGCCTCCTAGAACGGGCCCCCCTGCATCCCACCCCGTTAGTTCTAGCCACCTCTCTTGAATTGCTTCCTAACCACTTGCTGCCAACGTCTACTCTTGGTCTACTAGGTTCAAGCTGTATGCCTCGGCCTGCAGGAATGTTTTAAAACTAAGTCACACCATGCCCCTTGCCTCTGTAAAACCCTTTAGGGCAGTGGTTCTCAACCTTCCTAATGCCTCGACCCTTTAATACAGCTGCTCATGTAGTGGTGACCCCCC